TTAATTTTTTTCTTCTTTTCTTTCAGAAGTAATCAGGAGTGTTAAAAGAGATTGTGCCCCACAACTTCATAGTTTTCAAAAACTCGAAAACCGAAGTTGGGTCCACAAAAATGAGACCGTTACAGACATATACAATGAAGGATGTGGCAAGCAAAACACAGGAGTTGCCACAAGTTCAGAGTATTGCTATTGCCGATCATACTTATGCAATTCATCAAAAAGCTCATTTGATTCATCCTACTCACATCACTCAGATGCAATGGCAGTAATTTTTGTGTTCAATGCCATGAAGTATTTGAGGAGTCTGAGGTAGCACAAATTGACTGAAACCAGGAAACTCTAAGTCTTGGTTGTTACTATGTAAAACACCTATGTCAAATATTGCTGTGATTTTAGTTATGACTCAGGACAGGTGGTACTAAGAACTGCAAACATAGTAGTCACATTTGCAAGGTTGACTAACTCTAGAAGAAGTTTCCCTCTTATATTGTTTGAAACAAATCATTCCACACAGTTATTTTCAGTGGTAGACTTCAAAGTCAAAACAAAAACAAAAACAAAAAAAGAAAAAAAAAGAAAAGGGAAAATGTTATACAAAGGTTATTTGGAAGTATCTGAAGTATCTGTTCCATGGTTCACTATTTTTCTACCTATTTTTGTACGAGACTAATTATTTATTTTAGATTATTATTTATTATAATTTATGATCATCTGTATTTTAGATTTAGATTTAGTTGAATGTATGCAAGTGAGATCACCACTCAAGCAACACTGTATGTACAATTGAATATGATGTGCAATTTTTGCAATTTCCCCCCTGAGAGATGGATTATTTCTGACATTTCCAGTGAGGCAGCTTTTAAGAACCCACATCTAGATGTTTAAGATTCATTTAAAGAATAAGAGAATTGTAATTTTTTTTAGAGTGAACTAGTCATCATCTACGTAAATAAACGGTGAAAAATGAAATCTAATTTTGATGAAAACAAAATGGTGCAAAATTTGTCCTCTTAAACCATTACACCTAGTACTTTTTAAATGTGTTAAGAAAGACTGACAAACCTCTGAGGTAATCTTAATAATCTTTGCTGGAGATTCTTTTGGTGACAAAATTTCACAGCACTTACCTCAGAGTTGTTCTCCACGAGGAAAAGGAACACAACATCCTCCCTCTTCAATCGAATGGCTGAATGAAGAGGATAATTGGTTTTGGACTTAAACATCCGGAAAAGCAATGGAGCAGACATGTGAGAAAAGTCTTCACTTGAAAAATCATCCTGAAATAGATAGATATAGACATTAAAAGCATTAGTCAAAATTTAACTGTAATTTACTCAGCGTAGATTTGTCTTCTTACCCAATGGGAAGATATAAGAGATGAGCAATGTTCTTTCAAAGTTTCCGCTCCTATTTCATCAGCTGTGGTGTAGAAGCGAACACAGTTTTTGACATTAACTGATGCCATCAGAGCATTTTCACACCTGCAAAGAAGAGCGACAATAAAAATTCAACAGACAATGGATGAAAATAAGCAAGAATGTCTATTATTATGGTAATTACTTGTTTACTAAATCTTGTAGGTTAAATGAACTTGCTGCACGCATAAGGTCCAAAAGATGGCCATCGCCCCCAGATAAGTCAACTTGATCAGTATACACCCAACGCAAGAGTGTCTCTGCTACATTACTTTCCAAATTGGTCCAATCTGAAAGTTGTTTAACAAACAGTCAATAAATACTTTAAGAAAGTGAAAATCTGGATCACCATTAGTTGAGCATACATGTGGCACATACCAAGAGTTTTACAACCAGAAAGAGACTGGGAGCCCCATTCCTGACTTCTAGCAGCCAGAACAAAACTGTGAGCAGGAATTTCTCTGTTTTTCAGTTTAACATTTATGTCACTGAAACACATAAAATAAGAGTGACTTACACAATAAAAATGATCAAGTATTTGGTATAGTTTGATATTAAAAGACGTTTGAAATAAAAACTGAAGGTAAAAGAAACTCTGCATGTAAAATACACCAACTATCACCTGTAAACTGTCTGGTCATAGAGGCCTGCTACAGTTAGCAACAGACGTGACACAAAGCTATTCTGGTCGGCTTCCCCAGCTGTTGCCGACGCGACAGCATACTTTTGTTCAAGTTCACTGTAACGTCGCTGCAATTTTACATATTCTTCTTTTAATAGTGTAAGGTGCTGCTGAAGTTTGGCTGCTTCACCAGTGACTGTAAAAAAAATATTTTGAGATTAGTTAAATGTCAACACAACAATCGGTCATGACAATTAGGCTTAGACTCTGCAACTGCATATTTTTCAATGACTTTGAAGGGATTATTTCTGTACAAGCCATACCATTTAAATTTGTCATTAAGGGAGGAAAAATAGATCCAAACGAAAAGGGGGTGTTTCTGAGCAGTAAGTGTCACTTTTAGGCTGGAGTAAGACACAAATTCAGAAATACACAGAGACACCTGTCATCTGGGCAAGCCCGCAATGGTAAATCACCAAATTTCATTGGAATTTTGGACGAAACGCAGTCTTAAGAAATTTATACGTGAAACCACCCACCAGTGGTTCAAATCCGCAGAAGCTGGAAAACATAGCCTAACGATTTGACATATGAAGGTTTCCTCACCGGTTCGCGTATGGTCCATGTTTTTTTTGGTGAAGGTTTCAATGGTTGTGCAAAGGAAACACCGAACCAAGCATCACCGAGTGGCCCTTGAGGAGGTCATGAGATGTATATCACAAAAGGTTACAGTGAAATAAAAAGAACTCTGAAGATCTACAACAGGTTCATTGAAGATTGAAGACAGGACACCAGCAGGGAAGGGTTTATTCGCAGTCGTGGTGTGGTCGTGTGATTGGCTGACGGGGCGGCTCCCAGACCTTGTTTACTGTTTTGTCTGTTATTTGCAGCATCGTATCGTCTTGCACTATGGCGTCCGGACACAGAGAGGCTTTTCAGAAGCAAATACAGCAAGACTGGGCCAACCGAGAGTACATTGAAGTTATTACGGGCAGCATTAAAAAAATTACAGATTTCTTGAACTCCTTTGGTAAGAAATTTGCTTGTGCTTCTTTCAAAATATAAATTTTAGCGGTCATAACCTAACATTTCTGCTGTATATCCGGCCTCTCCTCCTTTCTCAATTTCCTCTGATTACCGCATGTAGCATTTCCAATTTTTACTTGAACCGTCTTTTTCCCCTCAAAGTACTGTTCATGCTTATTGGATCATCTGATGTATCGTTTAATTACTGAACTTGGGATTATTTTAGTGATTTAGCAGTTGACAGCACCTGTCAAAATGTCAAAATTTAATGCTGAAAATCAGTAATTTTGTCTGTTTCATAATTAGTGTACAAGTTCTTTAACCAGTGTGGACTCCTGTTTTTTCATACATACGAATATTTATTTTTCCCCCAATTTTTGCTTTCCTCAATGTAGATATGTCATGCCGATCTCGCCTTGCCGTGCTGAATGAGAAACTGACAACTCTAGAAAGACGCATTGAGTACCTAGAGGCCAGAGTGAGTATTGCATTTTGCTACGTTAACTATAATCATTGCTTCAATGTAAAGTGCATACCAATGAGGAACATTTTCTTTTTCCAGGTTACAAAAGGGGAAACATTAACATGAGAATAAGTTTTAACCAATATTTAATTAATTACTTTATCATTTTATATATATCCTCTTGTATTCTATTTAAGAAATGATGACTGCCATTGTACATATGATACTTAGCTGAAAGTAATTGGGCATGCTTTTGAAACAGCTAGAGGCGGAAGAAGAATAATCATTGTTTTCATTTGTTCTTCTTTTATCCTTTTGCTGAAATATCGAATTTTCTTTGGGTTCATCACCATTTAGAAATTTGATTGTGTTTTTTTCTTTTCAACTATGTAGTTGATGTTGGTTTTGGAGGCTGGTAATGTATGTACGCCTTAGAATTATCACCAGACAAGAATAAAAACTATAGCTGACATAATCTTGCGTTTGTATTGATTACAATTCCAACATGGCACAATGGAACCAATTGAATATACAGGGGTGAAATATGCAAAATGTCAAACAATAGGAGTTACAGTTAGTTGGGGAAGATGATAAACTTCACTATAAGGTCTTGTAGATTTCTAATGAGTTTGACTTACAAAAATAAGGACCGAAATAAAAGTTTGTCTGTTTCTTTTCATTGAGATTCTTCTTACCAAAGTATGATAAGTAAACAAAATAATAATGATGAGTTACTTGATTGGTCACTAATATGTTTTTAAACAAACAAGACTATAAGTAGAGGAATGACCTCTTAACATGTCAAGGACAAATTTAATTTTAACAGGACTCAACATGGTGTCAAACAGCTGACAAGAAAAATCATTGCACTTTCAGGCATACCTTAGAGGCACTATGTATCAATAAAATTTGCCTTGAGTATAATGGAGGATTACAATCACTATCATTATACATTTTAAGAGTTCTTTGCTCAGTCAGAAATGCTAACATTTGAGAGGGGTAGGCAACTGTTTATCAGTGTAGGTACTCAAGATTTAGGGCAAAGCAGAGCCCAACTGAAAAAAAAAAACAACAACAAAAAACAACAACAGAGACAATCAGATGTCTACATCAAAACATGACTGCTAAACAAAAGAAATGCAACAGAAATGGTACACAGTGTTTCCAAGAAATTACACAAATACAATTCTTAAAATAACATTTTGTGACAATGTAAAGGAGAGAATTGATACTCGATTTGAACAAACATGCAGAATCAACAATAGAAACAAGGTAATGACGATACATAATACACATAGATTAAAGTTTTATCACAATTTGTTTTATGCTACACCAAGCCTAAAGAACTTTGTACATCAAGAGCATATACATCAATTCAATAAAGATGTAAACTTTGGGGATTGCAAGATCAATTATGAAGCAATCTTGAACAAAATATAAATATATATTTTTATATATAGATATATTTGCAAATTGATATAAAATAATACAATTAAAACAAAAATAAATATATGGCAAGGGGTGTAGAGTTAACTGACCAAAGTCCGAGCCTCAAGCAGACAGTAAATTCATAACTGTTTAAGAAGACTCCACAACCTTCTTTGCCACATATAGCACAGTATAACACACTCATAGTACTATTAAGCAAATGTACGACAAATAAAACGTTAAACTCAATAAAAGGCACCCTTGAATCAGTCCTTCACACAATTAAGAGATGGAAGTCTCATGGTTTCAAGTGACTAAAAAGTAATACATTTTTGGTGGTAAGATCAGATGAAGGTCTGCTCCTTGTGCTTGATCAATTTCTTCAAAATACTTTCAAAGGCAATTCTGGAGCACTTTTAAGCTGCATGGCTGCCTGACTGTCTTTTAACACAGATAGTAGTATACCAGAACAATATGATGCAGGTATTGTAATGTGAGAAGTAAGATTCCGTCTGAAGAGATAATGAGGCGGTCTCGCATTGGCCTCTCGAAGAACATTGACAACTTGACCTGAAATCATTTATTTACAAAATATAATTTCAGTAGTGATTTAATTCTCTTAAAAGAAGAATCTAAGGATAAAATATTTGTTTTTGATATAAATAAGGTAACTTACCAAGGACGTTCATTTGCTTCCATCTTATATCAGAGCTCATTGCCAATCTGTATAGGTCAGTTTCAGGAACCCACCTAGACACAATGTCTTGCCGTCTGACAAGAAGCTCTGATGGACTGCAAAGCTGAGGGTGAAGGTTTTCTTCACTCACACATTCCAAAGGGTTTGTTAGGTAAATACCCCGATGGCTGACACCAAAAATCATTTGATGATGCCAAGAATCTGGTATGGTGGCTCCATGGATGACCGACCTTTGAATGTTGAGTGTTGCAATTGGCACAGCTCCTGAGAAAAAAAATTTTTTTTAGAGCATTTGTTTGACAACACAACATCAAAGTGAAAAAAAAGGCACTAGTGAAATGCATACCCTCCTTTATCCAATGAGCAAGCCATCTAGACAAAGAGAATACTCTTTCTGGGTACATGTGAAAAAATCTAGAATAAACAGCTCCTTCAGAGGCAATATCAAGACCTCTTATAAGATCTTTGTGTGCAGCTCCAGCAGCAGCTCGTGAAAAAAGGTAAGTGGGTAGACAAGCTTTCTCTGCTCTTAAACGAGTAGCTACTCCATCATGGACTTGCTCCAATGTAAATGGAATATTCAAGGCACTCTGAAAAGCAATGATACCATTTTGAAATACTGATTCTCTACGAAGCAAGTTACAATAATAACAGCACCAAATCTGATGAGTAAAAAGTTGAATACCAACCAGAACATTGCTGACAGCTGCAGCACCACAAGCTGAAACTGCAATTTGGGAAACTTGTTTGTGACAGGCTTCTCTTTCAGTCCAGATCATAGTTTTTTCTAATTCTGGAAATTCACTGCCATTCTGTTGACGCAATTTCTGTGCAAAAAGAGTACAGCGGTTATTTAAAAAACACCTCTATTATAATTAAATCACGTTACAATGCTTCTTATTACCTTCTGAGGACAACTTTCTCCACCTGAAGACTCAGCCACCCTTTGATTGTCACTAGTGCTAGCACCAAAACGAGCATTTTCATCTTCTTCTTCATCTAAAATTAAATTGTTGGCCATTATACTATGATAGAGTGCTGAGTACAAATTAAATTTCTGTTTATCCAAAACAGGTTCACTATTAGAATGACAGGATTTGATTGTAGAGGTGAAAGAAAGTTTGTGTGTCTCATCTATATCCACAGGACACAGCTGGCTACCAGCAATGTGTTGACCTCTAAGGATTTCCCTTGATACAGTAGAAGGAACTTTTCTGCAAATAGTAAAAAAATGCAATAAAACACAGGCAGTTAAAAATGTGAATCTAATTAAAATTGGAGCAAAACAAAATCATCTTACGGTAAGACTAAATTGTTAATGCTATCAGCTGATGTTGAAGCTCCAACATTGATTCCAAAAGGATCAGGCTCAACATTAACCATTTCTTCACTGTCACTGTTATCACTACTCTCCATAAGAACAGCTGCACCTTCTTCTTCTGAACTTGAATGCTCTGGGCTCAAAGCAGGTGCACTCAGCTCATTAGAGACTTCTTCAGCACTGGGACTGGGAGAAGATGAAACACGGTCAGGCCTATTCAGAATATCAACCTGAATATTGTCTTCCTCTACAGAATCTTGCTCTCCAAGAGGGTCCGGATCAAAATCCATTTCAAGAAAGTCCATTTCAGGTGATGATGCTCCATGGCGGTGTTCATCATTTACAGGGTGTGCTAGCACAGGATGTTCATTGGCCTGGGGCAATGACAAGCCCAATAAACCATTTGAGAGGTCAGCATTTTGGTCACCTTTATAGGTGTAAATGCAACATTCATCACCGGATAGACCATCATCATTGCCTGTGTCACTTGAACTGTCAGAATCAACAGGAGTGGACAATCTTTTCACTGTGCCATGCTGTGCAATTCGAGCACGCTCAGCCATTGCCCTTTGGCTTGAAGCAGCACATACTGCTGCAAGACGACTAGCATCTGACCCAGTATTGTCATTCAATCTACCAACAGTTTGAGATGGTCCTGCCTGACATTCAATGTCTCTTGTTGACCGAGTCTCTTTAGAGAATTCATTTGAAAGATTATTTAGACCTCCAATAGATCCAGCATTTGATGCTTCAGAATGAGCAGACCTTAAGTTTTGGAAATCACTTTGAATACAGGCCTGGGTGGCTTGGTGTCGCTGTTGGACACCATTTGGTCTACTTTCATCAAATTCTCGTGTTTTAGGCCGTGCACCTCCATATGACGTACTCGCACTGACATTGGTGCAATTGTTAAGTTGATTACTACCATCACTATGACCATTGCTCATCTTCACATGATGTCCAGTTGTGGGGGTGTCTAATTCACAAGCTGAGTTTGGAGCGTTGTTAACGCCATTCATTGTCTTATTTTCCTAGATTGTGGAAGAGAAAAATAGGACGTATAAAAAATACAGATAAAAACGGTGGAAAGATGTCATTCACTGCTTTGATTCAAGAATGTCTCTTGGCCTATGGCTCTACCAGACACACACACACAACAACACAGATGACTGCGGAACTATTCTTTCACAATGTCAAGTGACATTAAAGTTGCTTCATAAGAAACCAAATCTATTATAGTAGCAAAGTGAACAGTTTATTTGAAACGAAAACTTTGACAAGTTTACTTTAGGCTTGAAACTAGAGCTAACCCAAAAAGTGAGGTTACACAGATGAGAAACACAAGACGATTGAAAGAGAAGCGAAGGAAACGAGCGCTTTACCTGACTCATAACGGGATAGAACAACTACGGAAACATAATCAAGCAAATAAATGGTCTTCGCAATGCTGTCATTGGCTGTACAGCACATTATTCTCGACAACAAAAATGTTGCGATGTAGCCAGGGTGGATACAATATTTACTTCTTCTGCGTCCCTGACCACCGCCTGTTAGAGCTTTCTGCCGTCTGCTTCCGTGTGGTGCAGAGCGGGTTGAAATTGTTGCGCGAGTTGCCTAACTTCAGGCGGACTGCGAGTGGTCAGGGTGCGAGTGTCTCTGTGTTTGTGATTGTTGGTTGTTTATTTCTTATTTGTCATCTTGCACTTCTTGCGTGGTAAACCAAATCAAACGTCTTGTATACCTTCATCGTTTGGTACTATGGAGTCTTAATATTGTTCTGTTGTCTTCCACAGGTTTCTAAAAATGGACATGGATTTCGTGAGTGATGACTATGGTCAACACAATCGGTATTTTTACACGTCTTTTGAGGAGGGCCTGAGGGAACTGTCGTCTTCGCACGACAGATTTGTCAAACAGACGGAGGAAAAAATTGAAGAGCTTAATCATAGAAGAAGTTGTTTGCTGAGGGAGCTTCAACAGCTAGAGCATCCATCTGTGTAAGTTGTCAGGTGCAATTTCTCAAACCATACTTTGTTGTTTCTTTTGTCAAGAAATGAACTGTGTAGTTTTTATTATTGCTGGCGTCATCTGACCTCCCTTTATAATTTCTGTTTTTTAGAGTTTTTGAAGGTCAAAGCAACGTCTTGTCAATACCAGCAATTCGTGGGTTTGTTCTTTCAAACTTTTCTCGAGAAGAGAAACAAACAGATAATTCAACAATATTTAGCGCTGATGGCTGTATGAATTCTAAAAAATTCTTTACTCTGAGAGTTGTTATGAAGGTATGGAGGTATCATAGTATTTCAAATGTTTGGCGTAACATATATGTCGGCTGTAGTCCTTTAAAAAAATTCTTTGGTTTTCTCCTAGGAGGAAAAAGTAATCCAAATTGATCTTGAGCTGTACGACAATTCCCCTCTTTGGGAAATAAAAACTGTCCTGGATATGCTATTAAAAAAAAACTGCCCTTCTCTTCTTTTACTAATAATCCAAAGGTTTCTGCATATGAATTCATTAAGAAAAACTGTTGTTCTTAAACTAATAACAGGGCCAAATAAACGTTTTCGTGTGTTCTTACCTCAGAATACAAAGGTAATAAAAAAACATTGTACTGTGTGAACATTTTATTAAATTTTGTTCTTCAAAACTGTAAGCATTTTGGTATTTTTAGAATGGAAAGGCCTTTTGTGAAATACAAGAACAAAAAAATGACAGACCAGTGCTGGCAGTAAAGTGGACCATGCTGTGGAGCCAGGAATACAATTCCCTAGTACATAGTTTTACCTGTGAGAATTTTAATGGTAAGAAACAACAATTTTTACTGTTATGGATTCTAAATTGTAAGTGAATGATGTGTTTGATGTCCTATCCTTTGCAGATCTTGGAGAACAAGACATTGTCAAATACTTGGTTGGCAGAACCTTCTGGTATAAGAATGAGGAGGAATTAGTGCAATTATGGTTGAGGTACCAAGGGCAACTATAGTTATCCAAGTAAGGAGAACTCCTATTTCAGACCTAACAATCAGTCTTTTTGGTTACTTGATTGTTGTAAGAGATTAAATGTCATAAAACATTTTTATACATAATTTATACCAACATTTTATTTTGACATTTTATAAATATTATTTGACAGTTAATAATTCTGCTTTTTACTTGATTTATGGAATGGAATGTCACCCTATCAATGTTTGACATCACAATTGTTTTTTAGATTTTCTTTTGGAAGGGGTGAACACTTTCAACCCTTTCAACACGATATGCTACACTACGCAAATACAAACAAGAATTTACAGATTGGAGATCACAGTTACGCAGGAAAAGAGTATTGCAAGTCCAGTGGCCACAGGGCCGTCAAGTTCCCCGTGGCCCTGGAGGGGCACAGCCCTGAGACCTGATGGTCGCGATATAATCGTAACGGTCGAATCGACGTCGAAAAGATATCGTTTCGCTATTATTTTTTTCCCGGGGATGTGGCCGTGGCCCCGTCCTCGGGCCGGGTCCCTCACGCCGGCACATGCTCGGGGAGTCGGTCGAGGGGTGAGCAGTTGCTCTGCTGCAGCTCGCCTGGCCCGACGTCCTTGCAGACGTCCTCGGGGTCCTCGGGGGTGCACGGCACGGTGCACGGGAGGGAGCCAGCGTCCTCGCTCCCAGCGGTGGTGACCTGAATCAAACAGGGCACGTTACTTGGTCAAAAAGCTCAGTTGTGTTTCTCTCCCGACACTTTTCCATCGTCTTTGTCCAACCAACTGACCGCGGCACTGCTGGCGGCGGTGTCCAGGTCGTCCGGGTCGAGGTCCAGGTCCAGGTCCATCTGGTCGTCCTGCCCAGCGGGTGCGCTCGGCTCCGTGCTGAAGGACACGGCCCTCCCCCGGGCAAGCGCGCCACCCTGCCGCCGCGGCCCGTGGCAGGACACACTCCGCGCCAGACGCCTGCAGGCGGGTTGTAGGAATTTTTTTTAAAAAAAACACGAAATACTCCCGGAAAAATATGAAGCAAATGAAAATTTTTAGGAAAAGTTATAGACAGAGACAGTTGTAAAAAGAAATTCTGGAAAAAATCCCCTCAATAGACAATTCAAATCTCTAGCCTCGTTTAGGGACCTATGTGCGCCGTCGAGGCTGCAGGAAGAAGCCTCACCCACCTGTAGATGGGCGTCCAGGCACTGCCCCGGCAGACCTTCTCGGGGGCCTGCCTGTCCTTGAGGGAAGACAGCCGCCAGGGCTCGTCACCGGGACTCGTGTCCTCCGCGCGGACCTCGGGGCTGCCGCCATCCGTGTCGGCTGCCCGCGGCGGCGGTGGTGCCTCTGGGCTGCTCTCCACGACGCCACCGTTCAACGCGCTGGTCGTCGAGGCGTTCTTGCCGGCCAAGGACGCCGTCGTCGTCGTCCCGGGCCCCTTGCGGCCAGCCTCCTGCATGGCGTGGATCTTGTCGGCCAGGTGCCGGTTGCCCAGCCGCAAGTTCCGCTCCCGCAGCGCCTCCAACTGGGTGTACAGCCGCTGGAACTCTTCCTGCAACGGGTACTTCGGCACCATAAATTGAGTTATTGTCGCTTGGCCAGGATAGTCCAAACCAAAGAAATGGGCGGTCGAAGAAGAACATCGCCTGGAACACCGCCAAGACGGCCGTCTCGGCAAACCATTCCCGTACTAGGGCGCAGTCACTCGCCACCAGAGGTCCTCACCTGGACGTCGACGGGCACGACGTTGTGCAGGGCCGAGCCGTAGGGCTGCAGGTGGCTCTGCGGGGGATACTGCGGGTACTGGGCGGGCACGGAGCTGCACACGGAGCGCGCGCCCGCGCCCAGCCCGCCGCAGCGCTTGCCGCCCAGGAACTTGGACGCCGTGGTGGCGGACTGCGCACTCTCCGAGGACCCGGGCCGGCCGTGGCTGCGGAACACCAAGTAGGCCTGGAAGCAGAGGACGCGGGATTGCGGGATTAGTTCGTTAGCCGGACAATAAGACCTCTCTGATGGAAAAAAAAAAAATACAAAATAAAAAGTTGCAATCAACCATAGCGCAGGACAATTAATTCTCGAGAGAAATGAAATTGCTGAGGGTGGACAATGCAATGCAGGTGGGGCTGGCATGGTGGGGTGCTTTCGGTTCGGTTGCCTCCATTTTAAGCTGCGAAGGCACCCATTTTTTATTTTTGTTATTTAAAAGAAAAAACTTTATTCCAAGTTGCACCCAGCCGCTATTGCGGTAATGGAACGGTAACCGCCTCTGCGCTCTGAAAGGAATTACTCTACCGACTGGCGGGGGGAGGAAGGGGGGGGGGTGTTACCGCCTCGTGCCCGCGCTCTCGGACGAAGCTGCTTGTTCCACGCGCTCTCGCCGTCCGTCGGGGTGAAATACTTCTTGTGGCGAGAGGGGGGCTTTAGACGCCGGGCGCCAACCATTGGGTTTCTCTTACATCAAATTTCAGCGGCGAAAGCGGGTTTCCTTATCAGTGCGAAAAAGGCAATAAAGAGCGAAGAGTATATGTGCCTTCCGCTCAGAGTGATTGGCGGGATGTTTTGTCCGGGGAGTCGCGCTGTGTATTTATTTCCCAGAGGGGACCCAGAGGGAGCAAAAGGGGTGGCGAGAGAGAGAGAGAAAAAAAAGGATGTAGGGGGGAGAAACTCCCTTGAGCCCCCCTTCCCTTTCCCCCCAGCCGGATGCAAAGCGCACGCTTCGTATTATTGTTATTCTTTGTCAAATAGCAACTATGTACTTTCTTGCAGTGGCGGTATCCATACGCACCACTCGTATACGCCTGTTGAAGTCGAGGGGGAAATCACTAGGGTTCGTAGCGTACGGACTATTTCGTGGTATTTCTCCTACTATTTCGGTTATTTCTCCTGCCATTTCGGCTATTTCCCGCCTATTTCGGTTATTTCTCCTGCCATTTCGGCTATTTCCCGCCTATTTCGGATTATTTCGGTCTATTTCGCGCTATTTCGGAGTATTTCAGGGGTATTTCGCGACTATTTCACCGACTATTTCGCGTCTATTTCGTCTTTATTTCGCTCTATTTCGCTTCTATTTCGCCTTTATTTCGGACTATTTCGAGGAAAGGTGTACGAACTATTTCGCAAGTGATTTCCCCCTCGGTTGAAGTATTTGATAAAAAATGGGTTTTTCCAATTTTGACTTTCATTGGCAACAAAAAGATCGCCCCCTCCCCTCTTTTTTTTTGCTAAGTGGGCCAAATTTTTACAACGACGACATATTATGGGCCGCTTGCCCTGCTCGGCTGCATCGCCGCCTTTGTCGCTCCGCCGCTCTTCCAAGGTCGTCCCGGTCGTCCGCTGCCCTTGCCCGCATCCCGCTCATGGTGCCTCTCATGCCCAACCACTCCCTCTCTCCATACTCACTCCAGGACCGCGAGGGCCGCTGCTGCAGCAGCACGCGTGTGTGTCAATCAGAGCCAAGGGCGGGGAGGCTCGTGCGCGTGCGCGTGCGCGTGCGCGTGCGCGTGCGCGTGCGCGTGCGCGTGCGCGTGGCGTGCGTGTGTGCGCAAGCCCTCATGAAAGCTTTCTCTGTACATGTGAGCTCCATGAGCTGTCCTGTATCACGCGAGATCTCATCTGTTTGTGAAAAAAACAATGGCCGAGTGGTCGTGCTGCGCGCGGGGGGCGCGGCCTCCCTCGGTACTCGTCATTCTTTCACATAATCCTCGCTGTACCCCCCCCCCCTTTTCCCCTCCTCCGACACCGCCCTCTTTTCACTATCACTATCAGTCCAACCGCTCGCCTCACCCCCCAGAGGGACGCGGACAAGAAACAGAGGGACAAACGCAAGCATATTCAAGATTAACATTCATGATGTTTTTTTCCGCGCGAGCCGCGCGGTCGGTCGGTTGCAAGGTCGACAAAGTTTTCAGTTGTTGTTCTTCTTCTTTCCCCCACCCCTCCATTTTTTGGGTGGAAAGGCTATCTGGTGGACACGACACGACATTGTATCCCTAGTTCGGGCAATACCATATATGGTCGGACCCTGGGCAACACCGAACCGTTGCCGACTGGAGAATAAAACGTCAAAAGTGTCAGCTTTATTGACGTCAACAGAACGATACGTCAGTTTACGCGCTGGCAATTAGCGGCGCGCCATCAGTGCGAGGGAGGGAGGAGGGAGGGAGGGAGGGAG